AAAGAGAGTATCCTAGTGCTCCTGTGCAGGCTTCCAGAAGTCAGCCAATAAGAAGAGAGCAGGCAATCGCTAAAACGGCTTGTTTCAGAGAACTTTTATGTCCTCAAGTAGGTACATAATTCAATTTAATGACTGAATTACTGTGACTGGAAATTAACTGAATGTTCTATTACAACAATACAACAATAATTATTATTATAAACTACAATAATAAGGTTGTAAATTTACATTAAAAAAGAAGCAAATTTCATAAAAAAGGAAACTTTACGAGAGAGAAAAATGAAAACCTGTTACAGAAAACTGATTCATAAAAAAAGAATAACTTACAGCTGGCAAGGCAAAGAAGGAGATGCCGAGGAGGGCGAACCCCGCCGACAGCATCCGCCCCGTCCACGTCTTTGGCGTCTTGTCTCCGTAGCCGATGGTTGTCAGGGTGATCTGTGAAAACAAGGATTATCATCAGGGCCTGATGGATGCTCATATGGAGCCTCTGGCTGTTTAAACAGGGAACTTTTAAACTAATGTTATATTTAAAATTAAAACTTGTGCTGTATCAGAACTTGTAGGTGACCTGGTAACGCCGACGTTGTTTATGACTTATCTAAACATCTTCAAGCTATTAGTAGTTTTTTTATTTAACAGTAAAACGTCATTAGTTGGAATACCTATATCTATATCTATGGCATCTTTTAAAGGTTGTAGGACAGAAACTGGTTTCATCTTTTTGTTTGTGCCTCAGGCAGCTTTTGCAGTTTTGGTGAAATGGTCCTTTAAGTGATATTAAAAGGGGTTGTTTGGTTAGTAGACTTGAATGAAAATGCATCCTCTGCTTTACTTACACTAATCTATTAAGACTGCTTTATTTCTGTCAGACTGCTCAGTGTTAAATGTCTTCTGCTCCATTGTATTTGCATCTTTTTCCCTTTTGCATACAGCCTGATTTTCTGAGACATGATTTTAAATGATGCCTTCAAGCACTGCAATCACATCTGAATGATTAAACCTGCGCAGAGGCTTTAACAGGCGTCAGTCTGTGCGGCCTTGGTTCCAAGAACGCTGCTGAAAGCCAGCGGCTCAAATGTTTATTCTGCTTTATCTGAAAAAATAACGTTTTCTAAGGCACAGAATGAGCACTCCTCCTGTCCTTTATGTGCAAAGACCTACCGAGCATCTGATGATGTTGTGCAGATATGCACGGAGAGGGCGTTTTGACAATATGAAACCTCAGATTCAATGAAAATGGACTCAAACATCTCGATGGAAGATGTCAGCAAGTGAAGTTTTAATAGAATTAAAAGAGTTAATTGAAGTAATGATTCAAATTGATGGTACTTAGTGCATCAAAATATGACTGCTGGATAAAAGCATTCTTATGTGTTCAACGAAAGCCTGAAAAGGAGCACTTAATGAAGTGTATTCACCATTTAATGACAGGGGCAGATGTACTTGGCCGTGGACTGAAACTGGCAGAAAAACCTTACTTGGCTTTATTACTGTGCCGGTTTTATCTGCACATCTGTACAGATATCCATCCATCTACCGCTTTGATTTGGAAGCCTGAACATTTTTCATTCAGGCTCTGATTACCATTCATGACAAAGGCCATTTTACACCATTATGAATTTCTGAGCCGGATTAATAATGGTGTTTAACGGAGCCGTGCAGGACTAATGTTTATGGACGGGCTGTTGGTGCTCAGAGGCAGAGCTGAACAGGAGATAATAACGGCGAGGATTCTGCTTTTCTGCATCCAGAGCAGGACGCACTCATCTGAAAATACTCAGAGTAAAACCTGTACTCTGCTGATGTCCAAGAAGGTCTCACTCAGGAGGGTCAGGTGGCTGCAGAGATTGGCTGACAGCTGCTAAGAAAATCATTTCTATCAAGGCTTTTTACTAGGCCTGGGTTTTTATAATCGATTTATCGATTAAAATCGATTCTGGCTTGGATAACGTGAAATCGATTCATTAAAATCCTGAATCGATTTTTTAATATAAAT